GCGGTGGTGGGTATGGCGTGTCGGCTGCCCGGCGGGAGCGACAGTCCAGCGGCTTTCTGGGAGATGCTTGCGGAAGGTCGCGACGGCATTGTGGAAGTGCCGGCAAGCCGATGGGACGTGGACAAGGTATACGACGCTAACCCTGACGCGGAGAACAAATGCTATGTGCGTCATGGTGGTTTCATCGATGATGTGGAGCTGTTTGATGCAGCGTTCTTTGGAATCTCTGCCATGGAAGCTAGTAGTATGGATCCACAGCAGCGGTTGTTGCTTGAGGTTGGATATACAGCGCTGTACGTTGCTGGAGAATCAAAGGGATCCTTATTGCAGAGTTCCACCGGTGTTTTTGTAGGTATCTCAACGAACGATTGGACGAGGCTTATGTCGGAATGGGCGTCGGTCTACACAGGAACCGGGGCGGCTGCCTCGATCGCAGCGAACCGGGTATCGTATATCTTAGGATTGAAGGGTCCAAGTGTGAGCATGGATACGGCGTGCTCGTCAGGGCTAGTAGCGTTAGATATAGCTGCACAGAACCTGAAACGAGGACGTTGTAGCTTAGCCTTTGTTGCTGGCGTCAATCTTATGTTAACTCCTCATGTAACTGTTGCGCATTGCAAAGCACGGATGTTATCAATGAGTGGGCGATGCAAGACCTTCGACGAGTCCGCCGATGGATATGTGCGTGGCGAAGGCTGTAGTGGGTTGGTGCTGAAGCGTTTGTCGGATGCAACTGCGGCAGGCGATCGTGTGTTGGCAGTGGTGAGGGGGAGCGCAGTGAATCAAGACGGTCGCAGCGCGAGCTTGACGGCGCCGAATGGTCCATCGCAAGAAGAGGTGATCTTGACGGCCTTGCAAGAAGCGCAGGTCTCACCGCTGGACGTGGAGTACGTCGAGACGCATGGGACAGGCACAGCACTGGGTGACCCGATCGAAGTCGGGGCTTTGAAAGCTGTGTACGGGCTGGGGCGTAGCGAGGAGCGACCGCTCGTGCTGGGCGCAGTGAAGACGAACATCGGGCATCTGGAGG